TACTCCTCGGGGCTCCTCTGGCACTCGGGCCGGCATTCTCTCAGGTGTGCGCCGTCGTCGTCTCGCCGTCTCCGATTTCTATCAACATAAGACGACCAGAGACCCGCACACACCGCCGTCTGCGCGCGACTCGGCCGAAACGGGCCGAAAAGAGGAGAGACAAAAGAGGAGAGCCGTTTCATTTTCAGCTCCAAGTTTTCCACCACACTCTAGCCAAACCGCTGCCCGCTCTGCTGCCCGGCCCGCCTCTCGTCCGTTCAGGCCAAACTTTGAATTCGGCCCTTTCATGCGTTAAACTGGCGGTCAATGGCAGCGCGCGGGCAGGGTGGGCCGGGCTGGGCCGGGCCGTTGTTCCCGTTCAATCACGCTCACATCCCTCCGAAAGCGAACGTTATTCGCACCGGAAACGCATAATCCCGCGCAGGCCGGGGGACACTGTTGACGCACGGGTGGAGAGGTAATGCCATCTACAACTCGTACGTACCGTACGTACTTGCTGCCCCCGGCCGTTATGACTTGATGATGTCTTCATCAGACCGAGAGGCAGTGCCACTTGGCCGCAATCAACGAGCCTCTCGGAGGCTGGGGAAAATGCAGCTCTGGGTCGCGACGCGCGCTCCTCGACTTTTTCGCGTTCCTCCTGTGGCCGAACGGTCGAAGCAAAGGGGGAGCGGTAGTCGTCGTATGTAGAGAGGAGGAACTTGCGCACGAACGTGAAGGGAAGGAAATGTTCAAGTGACACGTCCTCAGCACGAGTTTGACGAGCGACGGCCAACGAACGCCACGGCGGCCGCGTCCTCTCTCGGAAACGATTTCGTCAATAACTGAATCGCGGAAGAAATAGTTGGTATTCTTTTCGACGGTGCACTGAATAATGCTGCAGTGTGTGCAGTTGCCAGCGCTGCACAGGTTGTGAGGCTGCCAGGCACAAAGACGAACGGACCAATACCGAACGATTCAAAGAAATGTTAAATGCAGCGTGAAGCCGGACGGCAGAAAGAGAGAGAGAGAAGGAGGGGGAGGCTTCTCTGTGTCTCCCTCTGTCCGTCACGCACACAGAGGGAGGAATGGATGTGCGAGGCATACAGTTGGGGCAGGTAGAAAATCTGACAAGACAGGTCATTGTTCGCCTCCCCCAATGGCACTTGCTGGGCGCCCCGTGGACCCAATGCACACCCGCACCTGCAGGAAAAAATGAAAAGTTCCTGGAGGCATTCTCGCCCGAAGACGAAATAAAGTCGCGAAGGTAACGAAAGAAAAAGTACCGTATTGGCTGAATCAAGATAGAGTTGAACGGGACGCTGGATCTGTGAGCATAGAGCATAGACATAAGTCACGTCAGCAGACCAAAAGGTCGCGTGGGAGTAGTGAGCTTTGTCATAGTCCGCCAAAAATGACAATTATGTAACGACCATAACTGTAGCTCCCGCGAAATTCTCCTTGACCCACATCTACAAAAGGGATTTTTCTGAAGTGCAACGGAGCGCAGACCGACTGCAGCATAGTGGCACAGGCATTTTGGCCTCCGCCTTTTTCCCACAATCAAGTGTCGCAGATCAACGCAGCTCGCCGCGAAGGTGATTCACCCCCAGTAGGCATAAGGTACTTCGCTGAGAGTAAACCAGAATGCAAAAGGAGAACATGACGCTCGGCGTCCGCTTCTTATTTCTGAACGCTGATTGGTCATCGACGAAGCGTCAGTGACGGAGTCAGCCAATGAGCGCGCAGGAGGATAACTGATCAGTCGGGCGATCTTTTCCTCTATAGGTTCCGGTATCACTCCAGGGAATGCCCTTGCAATGGAGGGTGAAAGACAGGCCTAGAGATTTAAAGGTCCGAATTCTCCCGGAAAAATTCGAAACTTTTCCAGAAACAAATGGATAAAATAAAAATATTTCCAGAAAATTTACGGAAAACAAGAAACTTTTCGAGAAAAAAAAACAGACATTTCTAAAACAAATATTTAAATATTTCTTGCACGTAAATTAAAATCCCTAGACGGGCCGCGAGCCGAGTTGCGCGGAGATGTCGAACGTAAACGAGTTAGGGACGAAAAGCAAAGACTAATCAATTTGTTAAAACATTTATCTCCATAGTTACGGAACTGCGCGTATGGTAATCGGCGGAAATGGTGCAACACAGGGAATATCTTATTCCATTGCTCTGAAAGCTGAGCGCGAATTATGCCGAGGAGGGGTGATTCAACCCCCATCCGGCAACGGCGCGCGTCCAGCCCGCCCCGCCCCGCCCTCCGCCGTCGTGTCCCCATTGTCCGGTAGCGGGGCGGGCCGGTCCAAGGACCTTTGGAGGGTCGCCGGACCGAGGAGCTCGCGCTGCCCGCGCGCACCGCAGCCTTGGCCTCCTTGCATGCCATTACGATGGAGGACCCCGCGACGTCGTCCCGCCCCGTAGGAGGTCCACCGGGCCCGAGTGAGGTCCCCGTCAAGACCTTTTGTCTCAGCACCGAGTCCAATTCGCACGCTACGCTGCGCTGCGCTGCCGGCCGCTCGCGGCAGTCTCACCCCCTGTCCACCGCCGCGCAGGGGCGTGGCGGAGCGTGGCGCGCGGTGACCGCGGCCGCGCGGCATAGATCGAGCCGGGCGATTCTGCGTGCTGGGACAGCGCTTGGAGCACGCTGGAGGGGCCCCGGCCGTTGGACAACTCCAGCGCTCTTGCAGCGCGCTTCCAGGAAGAGGCAACGATGGCGCCAACCGCACCGAGATACGAGTCGGCCCGGGAGCTGGACAGGGAGATTAGTCGAGGAGGGAGGGGGAAGGGGGGCCGACACAACGGCCGAAACCGTGCGAAATAACAAAACCCGAGGAGAACACGCGGCCTTACACGCCGATCGGGTCCGCACCAACGCAGCGTCGAAAATTCGCCCCGGGTCCCCCAAGAAAGAGGGAATGACTCGCGGCTTCGGCGAGAGAGTAACGTTCTGTCACGTGGCTTGCGGTCACGTTATGTCACCGCACAGCAGTTCGCCGGCTGCACGTCTTCGCGCCCCGCCGCAGGCCGCCGCGGGCCGGGCGTGTCCCGGGGTGTCCCTGGCGCGGCGTGGCCTCTTGGCGTGGCGTTGCGCGCGGCGGGCTTACGGCAGCTCAAGCCCCAATTTGGATTTTTACCATTAGTAGTTGTGCCCTGGTTTCCCAACCATCCGAGCAGGCGGCCCGAGCAGAGCATCGCCCGGCGCGAGCCCCAGCCAGAGCCGCACGCCAGTGCGCCTCTTGCTCTGAAATAGTTCTGTAAATGGGGTTTAAGTGAGGTTAGGTCAAGCCCAAAGTGGGCTCGGTTGCAGGACGAAGAGCGCCTGTTGTATGCCCCGGAGGGTGTATATACTGTAGCGCATGCACACCGAGGGAGCGTTCGGAATCCACTAGTGCAGAAGAAAGCCCCGGAAAGCTCCCTCGTCCGAGCGAGCGCCCAGCCGCAGCCCGAGGGCGGTGGAGGGCGGCGCATGTTCACCGAGAAGAGGCGATGCAATTTTCACTCTGGAGTGAGCACCGCGAACAGGGCCGGGGCCGGAGCTGCCGGCTGGGGCTGGGGCTGCTACACCTGTACCAGCGCCACCATCACCGGCCCGACGCCACTTTTGCGGACGGCGGGCGGTCTGCACCCTCGTTCCCACACCCTGAGCCGCCACCACCCCACCCCGCTGAGCCGTGGCGTGGCATGGCGTCCCCCCTTTCCGAGAAATGTCACCCTCTCCGCCATCCCCAAACGGCATCGTCATTTTGGGGCCGTTTTACGCCAGGCAGGCGGCAGCCCGCGAGGCAGCCAGGACCTCCCTCCCCGCCGCCCCCCGCTCACTGCCTGCCTGCCCTCCTTTTTACACCCCATATAAGCCCCCTTGAACGCCTGAATAAAACGTGGCATAAAGATTTTAGGACTGGCTATCGCTACTGGGAGGAACAGAGAGAGGGAAAGCGCAGGCTTTCTGCGGCGCGCCGCCCGAGATGAGCGCCCCGAGCGTTCGCGTGTGCGTTTCCCGCCATCTCTGCCGCACTCACGGGAGGACTATGGGGCTAGGCAGAGACAGGAGAGAGGCAACCGCAAAGGTCGTTAAAACTAGGTTAGAACGCGAACCGTACGCAGGGCGTGGGTGTAACAGCCAGTGGAGTTCCTACAAAGACGCCGATAATTCAGGTAACGTCGTGTTTACTAACTTCTGTACTTGCGCTTTCTTCTACAGGGAAATCAGAGCACAACTACCAGACAGCTCCAGTTAAAATATGACAAAACAGCCCCAAATGTTTGAGCGCAAACAATAACAATCCGACAGACCGGACAAAGGGGAAAGGGGGGGGGGGGTTACAACTTGAAGGGCAGCACCGCCCTAACAGCCGAGGGGCAGTACAGCCCTTCGGGTCGGTCAACATCAACATAACTCGACGAATATCGATGTTTCTCCCCAACTTGTAGCGCTGGATATTATTCCTGAATAACACAACGCCGTTAGAGGGGCGGGAAGGGTCCTAAGATAGAAAGCGGATCTGAGTCGAGAGGGGGGCGAAGGGAGGGGGCGCAGAGGGGGTTCGGCCGACGCTTTGAAAACTGACTCCAGGGGGCGGTTCGTGAGATGGCCCTTTTTTCCGCACATTCGTCTGCCTCTCACAGACTACAGACGAAACCCTCGGAGAATATCCAAAAATCGAGGGCAGGTGGGGACAGGGACCACACTGTCTCAGGGGCGCGGCGTGGGTGCCGGGCCGACCAGCCCAGCAGGCCGTCGCGACGCACCTGTGCGAGTGGGGGCCATTCAGTGGCGGGGTAGGGGAGGACAAAGGAGCGAAGGGGTTAGGGCCCGCTCCATCTCTGTCGCACTTACGGGGTCACGGCCCGCCGCGGGGCCCGGTCCATCTCTGTCACACCAAAGAGTTTCGGCAGGCACGTCCTAGGGCTCCATCTCTGTCGCACTCAAGGACGAAGTCGTCCCGTCGGCGAGTACGATTCAGCCCATGAACTGGGATTTACTGTACAAAATAATATAGGAAGAAAAATTACGTGTCCGTTGTTTATTAGAACAAGCATAAAAAAAGAGAAAATGTACATCTCTTTCAAAGTAGAAATCAAAGTGGACTTTATATCATTTTGAGGTCAATCACTCTCACACGCCTGCCCACGCGAACAAAATTATCAATTTACGATAAAATAAACAAATTATATTAAAGACACCAACCAAAAATATTTCTCACGGCACCTTACCCTATAAACTTGACAAGTTTCGGCTTAATCTAGACACAAATAATTAACGTGGATCTCCAATGGAGCAATCTACGCTACCCATATCACCCATCATCCGTCACCCTTCACTTGAGATTTCGTGTTTTTACATCGCGAAATACAATCATAAGGTGTATAGTCATATTTATTGTTCACACACATCCGAACTCTTAACCACAACCCGAGTTGTACGCGTAAATTAAATACACGAAATCGCAGGTGATGGGTAGCGTAGATTGCGTCATTGGAGTACCACCTTTAGTTTATTTGATATCACAGGTAGTGTAAAAGTTTTGCACTCTTGCTCTACGACAAATGGCGCTTAAAAATAATAGTTACCACCAGCATTTTAAAACAAATTTATACACTGCCCTCTGGGCACCGAGTAGACTAATTTGATTTTCCTACCGTCACCCAGGTTGAGCGAGTACATGAGTTTGTTGCACTCGTCGGGTGACAGCACCTCCTCGTGGTGGTTCTCGCAGCGGTAGCTGTCCGCCTCCACGGAGTACGCCCCCCGCCGGTCAGAAGCAGGGAGCGAATTGGAAGCTGTGGCGGCCGGTTCAAATGCTGAGAGAAAACCGGGAAAGGACGTACTTTTAGTGAGACGAAAAATGTATACGAATATTAAACGCTACAATTACGACAGGCAACGCAAAGAAAACCAAGTTTCGTACGAGGCATATACCACGGCAAAAAACGACAACCTACGCAGTCTAATTTTCTGAGATACAGGATGGTCCATCCGCGACGATCCGCGCCGTTCTTTCTTCTGATTTTACTGTACCGGACGCAGGCGTGCTGCTGGGCTTTCCTATTGTCGCTCATTGAGGCGGCCGGGCCCCGTGCGAGTATGCAACCCGTCCGCACGCAGTGGAACCAGAGGGGAAGAACGGCGCAGATATGGACCACCCTGTATTAGTAATCACTACCTCCATGAAACGAGAAAACTTCCTTAATATAACAGGCGGAACCCTGTTTAAATTGATAAAATTTCCTAATTTCATAAGACATTTCCCACAAATTTCAAAAGGGAGACCTGAATCATTTACTTTTACCGTGTTAATTTGGTGCAAGTGCTAGTTGCTATGTTTATGTCTGTGCCATTAGACAAGTTTTTATAGGTTTGCTTCTCAGAACAACACTGCGTCGCCATCCTTCCATACACTTGCCCTCCAAAAAGCATAATGCTGTACTACTCACCGTTCAGCACGGCCTCGGCGACCACGTTGACGAAGGCGGACGAATGACCGTGAGGGTCGCTCAGGGGGTCGATCTGTGGCGCATCCATGAACTCACACTTGCCTTGCGTGTTGGACAGCGCCATCGCCAACCTGTGCTGCTTGTCGGCAGGAAGATCAACAAAAATCAAGGAGATGACACAAAGGGGGAAATCTTCTGCTCTAGTATTCACTTAGGTTACGATTCAGCGTATAGACATAAATAACCCTATTTTATAGCATATTTTGTGACCAGAATTGTGAACAAGTTTAGCTCTTGAGTTTCCCATGCCCTCGCAGACGCTTTCCCATATCGCAGTTTAAGTAGCATAGCTTGATCACCAAGCGGTCCATGTCGCCGACCCACCCGCGTCGTTACGTAGGCCTACTCTTGTGACTTACCGGGTCGATGCCCATGGTGGGCATGGCGTTCTCGCGGAGGCGGCAGGTCTGGCCGGACCGGTCAAAGCACCGCTCCTCAAAGTGCTTGCTGCACACCTTGGCGTACTTGGACGGCAACCAGCCTTCGCCGCGGATGGCCATGCACCAGCGCGCCCGCAGCGCCAGGTTCTTGGACGGGAACCTGGGTATACAGAAGGGCGAAACACTTGATAAGTGAACACGCACGGGAATAAGGGCTTGCCCCTCGCCCACCTGAAAGTTTCGCACAGCTTCGTACAGCACTATGTACTGGAAACGAGTAAGGGAGAATGACAGCGGGGGAGGGAAGGGGGAGAGGCCACACCGCGGGAGGAGCGCGACATCAGCTGGCGATCCTTAGTGGAAGCGCGGAGGAGGGGGTGGGCCTCGCGGCGTGGCCCACCCCGCTCTGCCCTGCAGGCCCCGCGGCCCCGCCTCGCCCCGCCCCACCGCGGCACGCCCCCTCGAGCCTCGAGGGCCCCCGGTGGCCACATCGGGCTCCTGCGGTGGGCCCCGCGGCCCCGTGCCCGGCACCAGAGGGGCGCGTTCGGGATAGCCTATTCCCCCCTCGAAGCTACGCTGCCGCTGTTTACCGATTCACAACGAACAGCAGCAGCAGAGCCTACTCACGCGTGGAAGGTGACGCCCTCGGAGGCCCGGTGTGGCATCCGCCTCTCTTTGGAGCGGCTCTTGCAGCCTATGACGCTGCAGACGCCCATGTCTGTTGTGACTGTGGCCCGGCGTAGCCCAAGCAAGCCCGGCGCGGCGGCGTGGAGACTCCCGTTCACAGCCGCTGCGCGCGGCGCACTGAGGTGGCTTAGTGGCCCATCGAGCCGCTTGGCCCAGCGCGGCGTGGCCCGGCGTGGCCCACCCCTCCGCTGAGAAGCGCGCCAGTCGGGCACCGCCGGGCCAGCCAATGTGGCAGCGTGGCCAACTGCGCGCGCTCACCCTTCATCTACCTTTCTCTCTCTTTTGCACAGCCCGCATAGCACAGTCGACTGCCCCCCCTCTCACTCACTCACTCACTCACTCACTCACTCACTCACTCACTCACTCACTCACTCACTCACTCACTCACTCACTCACTCACTCACTCACTCGCTTTTCTTTGAGGAAAGTGGGTATCATGGCGTAGTGCCTAGCGTCATCGTCATCCCTAAACAAAGCAGAAGTTGATTGGCATTCGAGCAGAGGCTCGAGCAGAGGTTAGGTTGCCTGTCAGTAACGTTCACACTTTTAAACAGGCCTAATGCTTCTAGCAATATGACAAAACCTTTACCAGTGTTTATTTCGACAGTTGAGTGTTGAGTCATCATCATTGGGTTAAAATAAAACGGCCTTTCTACAACGCCCCCCTTTCTACTTCTACTTTCCAAACCTTGTTTCCAGGTTTAATAATTATTTTCTACTGACTGCAAGTCGGCCTGAAATGGACTATACAGTGATCGCACTTTTTTCTTTTTCTAAAATCACCGTCGCCAGAATTTTTGTTAAAATTTGAAAACAATGAAGAAATGGTAGACGGGTTCGGCGCTGTTGCCAGAACCAGAACAGCTAAAAGCATCGCACATCAACCCCCGATCGCAGTGTGGCCTACGCCCCTACGCCCCGCCGAACTGCAAACACATGCGTCTCCTTTCAGAGTCCTGCTCGGAGCAGGTTACGCACCGAGTGCACCAGAGCGGCCGCCGGACGCCGCAGTGTAGCGGGTTTGCATACCTTGTCGGGCAGCAGGGGCCATGGCGGCGCCTTCGGGCTTAGAGAGTACAAGCAAACCCGTCACTCTGCCATACCCGCTACGTACTTACTATGTACGTCACAGTGTACGTCACAGTGACAAAGCGGGGAAAGGAAAAGTCCAAGACCATCGATCGGGCAAACACGAAGCCGGTCGTTCGGCCGCTGAATGTTTCACCGTCACGTCTTGAATAAATTTTTCACTAATTTAGTCTCACTGTTCCCTCCCCCTTGCGGACCCTCCCCGTGCGTGAATGCAGTACCCGGCCACCGACCCCCGCGCCCTCCCGGCCGCCGCGACACCACCCGCTCGGGCATCCCCTCACCCTCTGTCCAGGATAACGGCCTCGTCGAGGCAGGGCGGCGGCGGGTGGCGGCAGTGGGCCGGGTAGGGGAAGGTTCCAGTCGACGGCGTGCTCACGGCCCGGCCAAAAGACAAAAGGGGTTTTAAATTGGAATCGGAGGAGGTCTAAGGGTTGGAATTCCCCAGAGGAGAGGCGCGCGCGGCGCGGTACAGAGTCACTCCCCGCCGCCACCGCGGCCGCCACCGCCTGGGCCGTGCCCTTCAGGGGGTGGGCTCAGAGTAAGCCCCCAGAGTAGTGCCCACCCTCGCCCGGCCCGCCCGCGAGCGCGGCGGAGCCATGGGCGACGCGGCCCACCGTCGCCTTCCCTCATTTCGTTCCGGGGAATGCTAGTTACTTCAAGGGGTATCAGGAAATTAATGGAATTTGGCGGAATGGTTGTCAGTCGGGAGTGTCCCAAGGCCCAAGCGCGCAGCTACAAAGGATGCTGCTGACATTGAGCTAAAACACAAGTTTGCGGTCCTGGACTGGAACATGTGACTATATTTTTTGTCGGTTTTTATGTTGTTCCCAGAGTGCATAAGAAATGACTGCCATGGGCCTCGAACCCGAACCCCATGGTGCGCTGCGATAGAGTAGCTGGGGCTGCTCGAGGC